GTTAATTAAATAATGTAAAAATGGTGTAAATAATGGTCCTTTTTCAACGATTTTGAATACAACAAAAAATAGGTAAATGACAACATGACTTTAGCAATAGATTTTTTACTTAAATTAAGTTGCCCTAAAAATGTATTTTGTTGAAAACAATATAAATCCCATAGTCACAACTACTTCTAGTCATCTGTTTCTCTTTTGATGATGATGTTTCCCATTGTGGCTTGGCGTAACGTGTAACTTATTTGTTTTTCTTAACAAAGCTGACAGATTTGCATGTGACAAGTTCCTGTGAAAGTTCTTACTGTTTATTCATGTATGCACACAGAGTGCAGTACTCCGGAAAGAATATTGAGAGTGTTTGCCAAGTTATTGTTGTTATCAGATACGGTCAAATTTGCACGCAAGTATGTGGAACTTGTTGTGGCTAACCTGGCCACATGTCGTGCAAGTGTTATAAGTGAGTTGTTTGTTGTTACATTACTTGTTGATGCAAACATTATAGATGTAAATGTTGTCCAAGCCTTTCAGTTATGGCTGAGAATCTAATAGTTTCTGTAAAGTTTTGCATCAGTTAGTAGTACGCGCTTGCTATAAAAAATTTCTGAATCGTCTGGAAGAAAACTGAAATAGAATTAAAAACATTGTAAAATTAGCAGTATAGTAGAACACAGCACAATGAAATATACATAGTGCTTAATTTAAATAAAAAGCTCTAATGTGTGAATAAAATAAAAGCGATTAATGTTTGATGATAACTAATTGAAATCTCATCTTTGTTCTTTATATATTGTCGATAATTTATAGCATGTTGCAGCTACTGTGTAATAAATGGCACAAAATCATTAATTATCAAAAGTTTTTTGTTGTCGTTTTTATATTAAAGGGCTATCACTCAGCAAAAAGTCATTGAACAGGTAAATTCATTTCATATCAGCAAGTACTTGAGTACCAATCAATCTGAAGATTTACTCAAATTTCATTAGCAGTTCATGAGTAATTTACACAAATTTTCAATATAAAAATCATTAAAAGGCCATGCCATGATTAGCAAGATAAAATATCAAAATGAAAAATGCTAAATGAAAAATTGAAAAATTTAAGTGAAATTGCATCAGACGATTTTTAGGAGTTGTGTGTACATTTTTTTCTTTCAAACAACAAAACTGATGATTGGCGTTTCCCAGTAAATGGGGAAGGGTCCTTAGTGTCTCGTTTTTTGGTAAAAATTGCTATAAAAATCGCTTATTGGGAATCAAGGAGTGCTTTATATGTATATATTTATTTATTTTTAGCAAAATTTAGCTTCTGTCATACAAAGAAGTACAATATCTAATGTCTTTGCATGTATATGTTTTGCTATTTGCTAATATGTTGTTTAAAAAATAACTATTTACCTCTACTGTAGATTTACTTGTAGTTCCTATTAATGGCAGCTTGTTGAAAGTTGTTCCCTTAACATATTTAATTTTAACAATTATGTTTTCTTCATAGTCTTGTTCAGCTGCTTTTTCCCATAAAGCTATTTTGCAGTGCCGCTGTGGTCTTTAATCATTAGATGTTTTAGCTTTAAAGGTATCCCTGTGTGAGAACTTGTTCTTGATTTCATAGGTGAGGACTGTAACAATAAAAAGTCACCAAAGTATATAAAATATGTGAAAAATTTGATAAATGTGAACAGAACATAAAGATGTGAATAAATTATGAATTGAAAATGTAATTTGAATTGTAACATCTTGCATTTATTCATTTTGAAATGGAAAATTGTTATTTGCACACTGAAGTTAAGTTAAAAACTTGATATTCAAATATGCCGAATTATAAATAGAGAATAAATAGAATGTACAAGTTATAAAAAAATACCTGTATTACACGACAGACAATATCTGTTTTTTGATTGAGAGTTTAGAACATGTTCAACTGTTCAAACTGTAACTTCCGTAAATAATGACTTTGTAACCATATTGAATTGGTGTTGTTAAACTAAAATAATCTGCTAAAACCGATAAAAGGAATGATTAACCAACTCCTGCACCACCTTTTATAAACAGATGCAATCTTTCTCTATAGACGGTTTTAATAATGTGTTTCCACATAGTCAAATACATGTCGCCTGAAATTCATCAATTATTGTGGATTCTAAACTATGCATTTCTGGGATAGCCTACACCAATTCTGCAGGCTTTGCACGGAATGGGGAATTAGACATATCTTCACTTTCTATTTTCATTTATATTCACAGCATTTGTGTTTACATGATGTATATGCTGCTGTTATTGATGTTCAAAAGTGCTAAGAATATGGTATTTTCAGAGTATATGAATCATTCTGATTCTCGCTTAATTGATGAAATATAAATGAAAACGTTATCAGCAATATCTAATCATCAAGTAATCCAACTCGATACAGTGCAACAAGCAGCTCAATTTGAATGTACAATTAATCCGGCGATTTTTAAGCATCATATGACTTGTCAAGCAAATGTTCCTTTTCCGACAGAGCTTCTCTAGGATTTGTTAAAGGATGAAGAAGTTGTTGTTCTTGCTTATGTGGAAGCAACAACATCAAGAGTGAGAAATAATAATCATAACTGTTTACCTGACCATATGGTGTTTTTATAACATTTGTTCTTTTCTTTTGCCGAATCCATTTATCAGAATGAATCAATTTAAACGTTTGTAATCCTTTTTGGCTGACAGAATTTCCAGAACACATAACAAAAGAAGATGCAAAATTGTATAATGACATGTTTGCATATGAAGTAGTCTGTCATAATAGTAATCATTAATATTTGTGTGGCAAATGTCAGTGCTATTGTAAGGTAAAACCGACCGTTCACTTAAAGGCTTAAGAATTTTTATGCGTTTAGAAGAAAGTTTACAGTTTATTAATATAATATGTCTTGATTTCTGAATTAATTTTAACTTTGAAATTCTAAAAGCTGCTTCTTGAGCACTCAAACGACGATTTTTCAAAACACAATTTCCAATTTTGAGTAATCTTGAATGAACAGTTCAACCTGATAAGTCAAGTGGTGTAATAACAATAAACAAAATTTAATAGATTGTAGACTAGATCGGATTTATATACCTCGTCATTTTAAAGATTCAATTTTAAATTGTGATATTTTACCTTGTACTTTTTCTGATCATGATTTTGTATTTCTTAAACTTAAATTAAATAAAACTATACCTTTTGGAAAAAAAATAATATTGGAAATTAAAAACCAGTATTTTAGATTATGAAGCTTTTATATTGAATTGGCAAATTAGTTCAAGAACTGAATCATATACTTTAGCGAGGTGGTAAAAATGAAATTATAAATAAAGATTTTTGTATAGGGTATAGTAAAAGTAAAAATAAAGAAACATTTTCAGAAATAAATAAACTAAGATCTCAATATCAAAACACAACTGATTTATTCAAAAAGAAGTGATTTTATCCAAATTTTAAACTGTTAGAAAATAGATATTCAAAAGGTCAAATTATTAGAAGTAAAACACAGTTAATTGATAGCAATGAAAATCCATCTAAATAATTTTGTAATTTCGAACATTAAAAAGGTTCTGATAAAACAATTTTCGAAATAAATGATAATGACGAAATTAAAAGTTCATCATTAGATATTTTAGACTTAGACAGTTTTCGCAATTTTTATAAAAATTTATATACAGAAGAACCTGTTAATTCAGACCTTTCCTCACATTTTTTTTTAATAATTTACCACAAGTCAGTTCATCTGATAATTCATTCCTTAGTAGTCCAATAAATAAATCTAAAATTTTAAATTCCCTTAAACAAATGGATTATACAAAATCTCCTGGTAGTGACAGTCTTTCTTTTTTATTTTACATTAGGTTTTTTTTCCATTTATTTGGCGATGTTTTATTAAAAGTTTTTCAAATTTGTTATGAATCAGGTGAAATGTCTGCTTCCCAAAAGTTGTCTTATAATTATTACGTTGATTTGTAAAGATAAAAATAATTCAAAATTAATGAATAATTATCGTCCTATATCCCTCTTAAATATTCACCGTAAAGTTTTATCTAAAATATTAACGAATAGGTTATCTAATGTCTTACCAAATATTATAGGTATATCTCAGACCTGTTCTATAAAAGATAGATCTATTTTCGATAATATACATTTACTTAGAAATATTTTTGATTCTGTCGAACAAAAAAAAAAACTTAAAAGCGTGTTTTATTAATTTGGATCAGGAAACAGCTTTCGATAGGGTTTCGTGGGAATATTTATTTAATTCTTTACATTCTTTTGGGTTTAACATTAATTTCATTAATTGGATTAAAGTTTTATATAAAGATATTCAGTCTAGTGTAATCATCAATCACCATATATCAGATCCTTTCTCTCTTTCACGTTCTGTTCGTCAAGGTTGTACTCTTTCTACTCTTTTATATGTTTTAAGTTTAGAACCATTTGCTTAAAAAGTTCAAGATAACCCAAAAATAAAAGGTATAATAGTTCCAGGTGGTAAGTTCGAGGTCAAGATTTCATTATATGCAGACGATAATACAACTATACTTACAGATAATTTGTCAATAAAAGACTTTTTTCACGAAGTTAATTTATTTCAGCAAGTTTCAGGGTCAAAAATTAATTATAGGAAATCAAATGGTTTATATTTAGGTAAATGAAAAAATAGGTCTGATCATCCTTTTGGCATATCTTGGGTTCAAAATTGTAAATTATTCGGGTATTTTTTGTGTATAATATAGATTCAGATAAAATTTGGCATGGTATAAAATCTTGTATCATCAAATTGTTTTTCGTTTAAAGGTAAAAGTACAATTCTAAATTCTTTAGCCTTTTAAAAATTTATTTATTATATTACGGCAGATATTATTCCTGAACACTATTTAATTTTGTTTCCTAAAGTAGTATATGGGTCACTTGAACGTCAAGACTGCACACGTGCGGCAGCAAGACTGTACACGTGCGGCGGCCATCTTGTTTATCCATACATAGTAATATATTTGCATATAATGCGAATATTGGTACATGTGCGGCGGTTATTTTATTGAGTTATGTTTTAATATCCCATCGATGCACAGGTCCTAGATAAATTATTTATATGGTATATGTGACATGAAATATACTTTTACCCGGTTTTACGCAAATGACCGTCATTTACGTATAACGGAATAAGCCCACAAACGCAACAGTCATTTGGAGGTTTTAGTTTTAATATACAAATTTAATCTTTTATTAAAGTCGGTATTTGGCCAATCTCTATATTCATATTCCAAGTAATATTGAATTCAAAAATATGTATCGGAGCTAATTCATAAACAACTCAGTTGAAATCAGCTTTAATTAATAAATGACACATTTTATATACCCGTAGGCTGTACCGTGTAACAAGTACATTAAAATCAAATATGAATATTTTACACCTTAAGGCTGAACATTTAAATGATGTTTGCACCATGTTAGCCTTTTTAAACAATACTAAAAGTAATAAATCCTTAATAAATGACCCATTTTATATACCCATAGGCTGTACAACTATTATTTGCTGTTGTAAGCCGTATTTTAAATGTACATTAAAATTAAATATGAATATTTTATGTCTATAACTAAAGATTTAAATGATGTTAACATGATGTAAGCCTCAAATTAAAAATACTATATAAAAGGTTCGACAGAAAAGCACACAAACTACATAAATACAAGGAATATACAAGTTTGTTAAAAAAATGTCTTACTCGGGTAAGTTACTTTATTATTTTAATCATATTGATTTTAAAAAGTGTGAATTAAGAAAATAAACAATTTCCTGTATTTTATTATTATTATTTATATCAATATTTCAGGAAAATGGCTTAACTGTTCCAGAAAAGCGGAAGAAGAGAGAAGAAAAAATGAGGCTCTAAACGAAGTAAGCCTAACGATTTATTTGATTCCGTTTTTACTACATTAATGCAAGAACACGAATAACTGATTATTTACTTTTTATGTTTTAACGTTTTGTTTTTTTAGGTAATTGATCTAACGAATGACGAAACTGTTGATACGAGTCATGAAAATAACAGAAGCGGCTATTTACAAATAAATGCACCAATTACAAAACAGGTAATATTTTAAAGGGCATTTGTTTGATATATTTAAATTATATTTTTAGATATTGAAGTATTTATTTTATAATAGTTTTTTTTTTTTAAATTTGCTAAATTATTGCATTTATAATTTACCACGTTTTGATAAAGGTTTGTATTTTTATTTTTTCAGTTGGTGACCATGTACCAGATCCCATATATTATACATCTAACGAAAGGATCGTGTTTTTTAGATTCATATTTAATGTTTTTTTTTCTCATGTCGACTGGACAGGGACAATTTCTTATCGCAAATTTAAAAGTGTATGTTAAACTACCAAATAATAGACTTTTGTCTATAGCAAAAAGATTAAAAAAAATGCAATTAAAAAATCCTTCGAAACAATACAAAATAAATTACTCATATGTTGATGAAACCAATTTTGAACCAAAATCTTTTACTGCTCATTGTGCTCTTTTATGTTTGTTAAAGGTCTGGCATATAATTAACGTAATTTTTGATCAAAGATCCACGGAATTTAAAACTTTGTTTATAGCTTTAGTTGATGTTGATTCAAGCTGGATCGGTCTCACACAGTTTAATCGTCACACCAAAACAGTACAAATTAACGTAAACTATAAAAAATGTGTATGTATAGAACAATTTATTTTAGTTCTTTTACACGAATTTACGCATATGTTATTAGGCCCCTCAGAAAGGGACCATGATTTGACCTTTTATTCAACTTTTGCTGCTCTTTTGACTATTTTTTTACACCAACAAGACATACATTTTTTGAACAAAAACAATTTAAATTCTTTACAAATAGCAGCCGTGACAAAATGACTGTGTGATGACTTTTCTATAAAAAAAAACAACACTTTTTTGCGCTTGACGCTATAAAAAAAAATGCATATGTTAAATTTAAATTTTATATGTTAGACCTTTAACAAACATAAAAGAGCACAATGATTTTACCTTTTTAATGTGCTACTTTAGACTGTCGCCTGTCAAATTTACACAAGGAAATAGTCTTGAAAATAATGTTATTTGTAGTGGACGAGGGATGATCACAAAAATTACAGAATATTAAAAATAAAACAATAATTACATATATTACTATTATGTGCCGGGTGTGCGTTACCATGTTTTAAATATAGACAAAACTATTCGTGCTATAACATTTGTTTACAGGTAATGATTTTTGATTTAAAATTATTTAATTGACAGTTCGTTTAAGTTTTTGTATTAGGCCGTATCAATTTTACCTACAAATTTTTAATGATAAACGTACTGAACAAGAACTTACTTATAAATACAGTAAAAACTCTGAAAACCGGACCCTCTGAAAACCGGAATCCTTTGAAAACCGGACTTTTGGTCAAGACCGGACAGGGTCCGGTTTTTAGAGTTTTTACTGTATAACGTTTACTTCGTTAATATTTTTGTTTTTATCCTTTTCTTTGAATATATTATATATTTTTTAATTTGTTTGTATTGTATTATGTATATTATGTAAATATTTGGGAAATAAATATGTTTAAACTTAATGTATAATAAATAAACATTGTATAAACGAACTGATTGTTTGTAAAGATATAATAAAATAAAAAAAAAATACTTTTTTGCGTCTATTTTTCGAAACTTCACAAAGGACATTGAACATAGTACCGCTACTGTCATAAAAATTCAATTCGCCATATGTAAACATATTAAAACTGCCATTAAATGTCATCTTAAAATGTAATAAACTTGTCCCAATGTAGTGTGACCTATTTCTAAACGATACTAAATGTCATTATACAAAGACAGTAATCGATATTAAACCCTTTTTCATAGTAAGCGCTATTTTTATCCAATAAAAATGTCATCTTAAATGATATTAAACTCGTTCCGATGTAGTGTGACCTATTTTTAAACGATACTAAATGTCATTTTACAAAGACAGTAATCGATATTAAACTCATTAAACTTATTAGTAAGCGTTATTTTTAGACTACATCTTCCTATAAAAGCCCTATTTATCAAGACCACGTAGCACAACTTACGGTGACAGTATGGTAACAAGAGACCACTAATTTATGAAAGAATAGAGTAACGGTAAGATTTCTTGCGCTACTATTTTATTTGTTATACCTACTTGAAAGCAAATATTTCTTAGATATTTTAGTTCGTAAGATCTTTCGCGCTATTTTGTACTTATATTTTCGCAAGGTATTGAAGGTCATTAATGACATAGAAATAAAAATAAGAGCGAACGAGTTACTTAGCTCATTTTTATTTTAGAATTCTAACAAGAAACATGGAAAACACCTTTGAAGCCGTATTTGAGACTTTGATAAATACTTTTACTGATGAAAGTCAGCTGATGAATTTTGCGGCAACGTGGGGGATACAAGATTCCCCCGGGGTGCGGTTTCGACTATTTCAGTTAAGGAACCCGCAATATGGAGATAACTTTGTGAATGAAGAACTGGAAAGTATACTTGAAAGTTTAGACGGTACATTACAGATCCAAGAAGACACGGAAAATTTAAATATGGAGCGGGAGAATGTAAGAGAGCAAGAGGAGATTGAAGGTGCAGCAAACGCCTTATTATTTGATGAAGAAATGGATAATATGGCAACTGCCTGTGTGGAAGATGGGGAGTGGAGCCCCCAGTCCCCAATAATACAAGAAGGGGGTGGGGATGATCCTCAACCGGGACCGTCTTATAGACCTGACAACCCGAGAGAGCTTAAGTATACGATAAGGAAAAAATCAGAAAGGACATACGCAACAAAAGCAGCAGTGGATCGGACATTTCGAGTGAAAGTGGATGAGCAGCATTATGGCCTCCGGCTACAGGATGTAAGGCGAGGTCTTCACCAAATGTTTGAAGACGTGTTGGAAGAACCCCGTGACAATTTGGCGGGGAACGATCTTGGCCGTGTTGTCATTCATCATCAAGGATTACACGACCCCATTATAGTCCCCCTTCAGCCCTTGGACCAGTTGAACGCCAATAAAATCATGGAAATCATTGAAAAAGTACTCAACAGCAACCAAAACTTATCCATCGATGATAGTTTTTATATCTCTATAGGCACTGTCGAATTACCAAAAGGAGGAGCAAGGCGAAGAATCACCAAATTAAAAGGAAAAAACAATTCATTAAAATTAAAAACGTCTATAGTGACCATTGAAAATAATGACCAACTGTGCATGGCTAGAGCAATTGGTGTTAGTTGGGCGAAATTAAATAGATGTTCGTTAGAAGAATGGAAAGAAATTGCTAAAAACCGTCAAAAGAAGTCCAATTTACAGCTTATACTAGAACATCAGCAAGTGCCAGAGAGTTATTATAAACATTTAGTGAATAAAAAGAGAGATGAACAAAAACAGTTGGCGGTAGCCATTAATCAACTAGCCGGAGTACCTTTAGATCGTCCCGCCAGTTTAGATGATGTGGAGGCGTTTGATAAAGTGTTGGGAGTGCGCGTAATGGTCGTTAGCGCCAGACTAGGTAACAAGTTTATTACCAGCCCTAGTAAAGACAAACGTCCATGTATTTACCTGTACCTCGTGGACGACGACCACTTTCACGCCATTACCAATATTACTGGTTTTTTAGCGCAATATATTTCTGCGACCAATGTCTCAAACACTACAACAACAGAGAAAATCATCAGTGTGAAACCTCCTGTATCGTGTGTAAAACGGATAATTGCCCCGAAACAGACATAACAGTCAAGTGCCCAAACTGTAACATGATCTGCAGATCAGACAAATGTTTGAAACAACATAAAACGGTACCAGTATATAAAAAAGGAAAATGTAAAGGAAAACCTAGCGGACTATCACAGTGTCAAAAATATTGGAAATGCCCTACCTGTTATAAAGTATTAAGAACCGATAGAAGGAAAAAAGAAGATCATCAGTGCGGAGAATACCTATGTACGTCATGCGAACAATATGTAATGGAAGGACATTTATGTTATTTAAGAGCAACACCAGCCAAGGAACATTATAATTCTAAATTCATTTTTTTTTATTTTGAATGTTGCCAAGACGAATTGTTAGAGTGTGAAAATGGATACGTACCAAATAGACAAAGCAATTGTAAAGACTGTCAATCACAAGAGTTATGTAACTCTTGCTCTAAATGTCAACACTGTAAATCATCTTGGTGCGGTAAAGCCACTCATCGTCCCAATTTTGTAGTAGCACATACTGTGTGTCCAAAATGTATCGATGAACCCTTGACCCCCGAATCTTTATGTAAAAAATGCGGTACACGGTGCGACGAATGTGACAACTCTGATTTACACGACAATGAAGACCCTGGACCGTGTCCTGGGAAATGTGGATTCAGAGAAGTCACGTTCGAAGGGGACAATACCGCCGAAAAATTTGGTGAATGGGTGTTTTCCCCTCAGCACGAATATTTCAAAGTGTTTGCTCATAATATGAAAGGTTACGACGGCTATTTTCTTTTAGAGTATTTAATAGACCAATCCTTAAGACCAGACAAGATGATTTACAGTGGCTCCAAAATTATGTATATGGCAATAGAGTCAGATTTACATATCAAAGTGATTGACAGTCTCAACTTTTTACCTATGAAATTATCAGCCCTCCCTAAAGCTTTTGGATTGACTCAATTAAAGAAAGGTTGGTTTCCCCATTACTTTAACACTAGCGATAATCAAACTTATGTAGGCCCGTACCCAGATGCTCAGAAATATGGTCATAATTTTATGAGTGAGAAAGAGAGAGCCGAATTGCTAGTGTGGTTGAATGAGAGAAAAGACGACGTGTTCGATTTTAGAAAAGAAATGTTAGATTATTGTAGGAGTGACGTACAAATTTTAAGACAAGCGTGTTTGAAATTTAGAGAGTTGTTAATGAGCGCTACGGGTGAAAGAATAGAGGTGGTAAATGAAAAAGGAAAGAAAGAACAAAAGTGGGTGGGGGCCGTGGATCCATTCGATTCCGTGACAATAGCTTCAGTCTGTATGAATGTTTTTAGAACTAAATTTTTAGAAGAAGAATGGAAAGTTAAATTTGAAGGTAATGATAATTGGATACCTTCAAAATTAATAGACGGAAAGCTTTATGTATTGCGCGGAAACGAATGGATTCTACAAACCAAACTCACGGGTGTGAAAGTCAGCGAGACAGAGTTTGTAAGGACACCAATAGCGAAAATTCCTCCGACTGGTTATAATGATCAATATAGTGAAGCGTCCATACAATGGTTAGAATATATGGCGTGTACAAAAAACGTCAAAATACAACACGCTTTAAATAAGGGAGAAAAATCCCTACCCGGAACACGTTACAAATTAGACGGTTACTGCGAGGAAACAAACACTGCATATGAGTTTAACGGATGTGTGTTTCATGGCTGTTTAGTCTGTTTCCCAGATAACCGAGAAGAAACGCGCCATCCACTTACCAAACAATCGTTCAATGAACTGTACGCGTTAACGATGAAAAAGAAAGCTTACATCGAACAGCTAGGTATGAAATACGTTTGCATTTGGGAACACGAATTCAAAAAACAAAAAAGTCAAAATCCTGAACTGAAACAATTTGTCGAAAGTTTAGATCTAATTGATAGGTTAGACCCGAGGGAAAGTTTTTTCGGGGGTCGCACCAATGCCAGTCAACTCTATTACAAAACGAAAGAACGGGAACAAATCAGGTACGTGGATTTCACGAGCTTGTATCCGTGGGTGAATAAGTATTGTCAGTATCCCGAAGGACATCCAACCGTCATAACCAAAGATTTTAAAGACATGAAGGATTATTTCGGTATAGCTAAGGTTAAAATATTACCACCTAGGGGATTATACCATCCCGTGTTACCATATAAGTCAAATAATAAGTTAAAATTTCCGCTATGTAGAACCTGTGCCGATACTGAAAATCCGCACGCATGCGCATGTTCAGAACAAGAAAGAGAGTTGACTGGTACGTGGTGTAGTCCCGAGATTCAAAAAGCCATTAAATTAGGTTATCAAATTAAAAAGATATACGAAGTATACCACTGGGAAAAATCGACGCAATATGACCCAAAAACGGGATCAGGGGGACTGTTTGCCAATTACATAAACACATTTTTAAAATTCAAACAAGAAGCTAGCGGCTTTCCTGACTGGATAAATAATGAACAAGATAGGACAGATTACGTGTCTCAGTACTTACAAAAAGAGGGAGTTTTATTGTGTCGGGCAAACATCTCGAAGAACCCGGGTTTGAGAGCTCTGGCTAAATTATGCCTCAACAGTTTTTGGGGCAAGTTTGGTCAGAGACTAAATATGCGCCAGACAGAGTTCTTTCACGAAGTACAGGCCAACCTTTTCTTTCAGTTGTTTGCCGATCCAACAAAAGAACCTCTAAATTTTCACATACTTACCAATGATATGATACAAATAGAATGGCAATATAAACAAGACTGTCAACCCGAAGATAATAAAACGAACATTTACTTAGCTACGTTTACAACATGCTGGGCAAGACTTAAACTCTACAGTGTGCTCGAAAAGCTCGATAAACGAGTGCTGTATTACGATACGGACAGCGTCATTTATGTGAGTCGACCCGGACAGTACGATCCACCATTAGGAGATTACTTGGGTGAACTTACGGATGAGCTAAGTGGAGGGGAGCACATTGTAGAATTTGTGTCTGGAGGTCCTAAAAATTATGCCTATAGAACCAACAAAAACAACGAAACTTGTAAAGTTAGGGGTTTCACATTAAATTATTCAAACAGTCAACTTATCAATTTTGAAAGTGTGAAAGATATAGTAACAGAACCACAAAAAAATTCAAATATCGTAATAACAAACCCAAGTAAAATTTGTAGAGATAAAAGAAAAAGAAAATTGTACAATAGGGAAGAAAAGAAAAGTTATCAAATGGTGTATACCAAGCGTAGAAAACTGGACAATTATGATACAGTACCTTATGGATATTAGAAGAAATTATTTTTATTGTAAATATTTGTTTTTTTATTGTTTCGTTTTTTGTCGCACGCGTTATTAAAGTGTAATTGTTATTTCAATTTTTGTCACTACTGATTAAAAAAGTGTTACGTATATTTCAAAAAGTGTCACTGCTGATTCAAAAAGTGTTACGCATTTTTCGTTTTTTGCCCGTTTACATGTATTTTTCCATAGGGTATGTTTTAAAAAGTGTCACTGCTGTGTCAAAAAGTGTCACTGCTAATTCAAAAAGTGTTACTGCTGTGTCAAAAAGTGTCACTGCTAATTCAAAAAGTGTTACTGCTGTGTCAAAAAGTGTCACTGCTAATTTAAAAAGTGTCACTGCTGTGTGTCATTACTGTTTCAAAAAGTGTAACTACTTTTTTTTTAATATGTGTCACGTATGTGTCTGTTTTGTTTTTGTTTTTGTTTTTTTATCACATTAAAAAAAATGTATATAAATTATTGAATAAAAGTATGTAAGAATATACAGTCATGCTTATTTCATTCTATATATCGTAAGAATATGAACGAAGACAACTCCGAAGTACCCGAAAGGGACGCCTTTATTCAATTTTCAAAAGCGAATGAAGAAATAGACTCTAACGCTGAAAAATGGCATTTATTAGGACAACGAGTACCAAAGGCTGAAATTGTTTACTTTTGCCAAATGATCATTGTCTACATTATAATTATCGTCTCAATTATAAATTTATCCCTTCAAAACGGTTCGTCAGAACTTTGGATAAGTTTACTGAGCAGTTGCATAGGATACGCATTACCTAGCCCTAAGCTAAAGAAATAATAATGAAGTCATCTTTACCTTTCGAACCATGCTCCAGTATGTGTATAAGTGGACAAACAGGAAGCGGGAAAACGCAATGGGTGTACAAGTTTTTGCAAAATGTTAGAGATATGTATTCTAAAGATCCGCCATCACACATCTTATATTGTTATGGTATTTATCAGGATTTATTTGATGAAATGGAACGGTGCATTCCAAATTTCTACAGTAAACAAGGACTGCCTTCAGCGGAAGAAATAGATGACTTTACCAAAGACAAAAGACATAAAGTGATTATTATCGATGATCTTATGCACGAAGTGATGAAAAACAAAGATATGGAGCTACTTTTTACACAAGGCTGCCACCACAAGAAAGTGTCTGTCATACTTATCACGCAAAACTTGTATCCAGGAGGTAAACATGCAAGAACAATTGCCCTAAATACGTGGTATATGGTACTGATGAAAAATTTAAGAAATGTTTCTCAGGTGGGAATATTGGGACGTCAGCTCTACCCCGGTAAAACGAAAGGATTTGTAAAAGCCTATGAAGACGCCTTAAGTACAAAACACGGTTATTTTTTGGTAGACATGAGTCCACATGCTGAAGATAAATACCGTCTAAGAACGCATATTTTTCCCGGCGAGGAACCCCTAGTTTATAAACTGACGTAAGAAGCAGTGTAAAACTTGTAAGAGTAACCATGGTTGAACTCATCCAACAGCAACGTCATTTTTTACATCTCATTAAAAGTACTACAACCGCGCAAAGAAAGGCATTGTTAAGTACAATTACTAAACAGCAGTTGAAAGCTCTTTCTCAAATTGCCTATAATATTCTGCGCTTTAAAATACGCCTTACACCTTCGGAGAAAGCTCAACTTAAACGTCAAAGACGCATTATTCATCTACTTGGAAACAGATCAATCGGTTTTAAACAAAAAAGGGAAGCCATTCAACATAAGCCTCGAGTGATCTACACCCTGGTGAAAATTACTTTCGCGTATTTGGAACCGGTATTGGCATAATGGAAAAGTTTATTTTGGTACCATACGAAAAATATCAACGCATGATGCAACCGAAAACCAAAGAGTTCGAAAAAGTAACGGAAGATGGGCCTACCAAAGTGTCATTGCCACCCCCGGGAGAACGGAAGAAATCAACTAAAAAGGCGGGAAAATCTCAAACGAATAAAATAGACTGGATATCATTTTAAAACAAAAACGATGTTCTTTTTCATATATTTTTATTGCTATATACAAAATAAATGAATACAAAAAAAATAAAATTTCAGAGTTTGTGTTTATTTACAACATTTTTAACATATATATCATTCCATTGTCTATTATACACATTAAAAGGTTTGACAATGTCTTTTATAGTCCTTCCTGTACATTTAGTTATGATATAATATACACAATACAGTCCGCAGGTATCTGATTTAGTGTCCTGAATAGGATCACACACCATCCAAAACTTGTTCGTTAATACGGTTTCAAAGCCCACATTGTAGTCGTTTGGTTTTTTTCCGAGAGAATCAAAAAACTCGTACGGTCCTTGTTTCGGAAAATAAAAGGTAACCCAATGTTTCCCTGGTCCATCACTCGTGTCTGTATTGGCGATAACGAATTTTCCTTTTTGTTTACGGATTTGATTAGCAGCGCACACCTGGACCGGGTATCCTTCGAGTAAACGTTCCAGTTCTAAATTATTCATTTCACGTAGACGGCCCTTGCTTTGTCAATATTGAGTACTTCTGGGAAGGTGGCATACATAATCAGTGTGACACTCTCAGGTAAAGCCTCTGCAAACTTGAGTTCTAGCCGACAATGACCCTTCCTTTTCGTGTTAAATGAATAGTAGGGGTCAATATCTAGGGCATATAAGCAGTACCCTTTCTTATAATCTTGTTTTGAAATGTTCAAATCGCTTCTGTAGAGAGCTAATGTTCTGTAACACTCAACATACTGATCGTATAATTAGGTTGCATCGGTTGGCTAGGTAAAGACTGTCCATCCACATAGAGTCCTACGAAGCTGCAGTTGTAATGTTTAAAGTTGAATGAGTTCTGCCCGTAATCACCATTAAACGCGGCACTCGGGACTAAACCTACAATTAGTTTACTGGGCACTAATCCTTGAAAGATATCGTCCGCGCTGTAACTAAATTGACCTGAAGCAATGGCTGTCGTTTTGATCTCTGTGCGTAAGTAACGGTATACGGCTGGTGTGTCTTGAATAAGTGTTTCTTGCGCTATAAGTACGCTACTAGCTAGCCGTTGAATACATAGTTTAAAATAAGCGTCAACTATTTTAACTCGATATTCGGGATTGACGGTGTCTGTTATTAGTCTAAATGAGTCTCTGGTAGGATGGAGTTTTATACCTACAGAGACTCCGTTAATGAGTAGCTTCGACTGTTGAAACAAATCAATGTGTAATGGTCCTTCCATTTCTACAATTTTGCTACCTTTAGTCAGTGTGTATCTGAAAAATAGTCCACCATTACTTCCCGTTTTACCATCAATGGTACCAACGTCTCCGGTATCTTTATAAAAGAGTTGACTGGTAAGTAGGTTAATTTGCATATTTTCGTTGGACTGTAATATCGTGTCAATGTACGCTTTGTAGGGATAATTAATTCCGGTATGCGACAAAGGCGTTTGTTGGAGAGACACATCAACCTGACTAAAAACGGTGTGCAATGGTAAATTGATTGGACCAACTACTTCGTCAGGGTCTACTGCACTTCCATCGCCTTTGACAATTTGCAGCTTTAGGTTGAGCACGCTTCTTTTTAGATCCAAGTACGCCGATGTATGACCGGGTATATTAAATTCGAGAGCGGATGCATTTGTCACTTGATTTACTGGACGGTATGTAATCCATTCTCTCGATTGTAATGACGTGTCTGCAGGGGGTGTAACGAACAAAGACAGCTCTTCCTGATGAAAATCTTCCATGTTTAAAATTGAAATTCTGGATTTAGTCTCTGTCGTTTAGATGGTTTGTTGGCGGATAACAATGCCTTCTTACGTTTTTGGGGCCCCTTCTTACGCTTTTCGCCCTCTTCAACCTTCTTACGATTGACCTCTGACTTGGCTATTTCTATCGCTTGTGCTACGGGGGAAACCAGTTTTACTGAAGGTGACTGTTGCATTTCGGCCATTTTTCTAAGCTGATTTCCGCTACCTACAATGTAACGGCCTTTATGATCGGCTTTAACGTACCCGTCCTACAAGTCCTTGAAATGTTGATACCATTTTTCAGGGTCGGGTACATAGGGTACCCATTTTTGTTGTTTGTGATCGTAAACTTCTATGGAGCCCATCTTTTTTTGAAATGTAATACACAATGAAGATCGTTAGAATTGAACTCAACTGAGTTTAAATCTTCGTCTCTCAAATATAAATGTAAAAAGTTGAAATGATTCACAGTCACTGGTACGTATACTGGGTGGCTATATTCTACAAATTGAAGTTTCTTGTATTTCGAACCGACTTCAATATTTCTAAGTACGGGTACTTGCGTGTTTCTTACGTAAGTTTGTTGTATCAGGTTGCAGCATAAATACAGTCTTTTACTTTTAGGCGTAAAGTCACAGGTCAAAGTAATTTCTGTCAAAGCGCAAATCCAATGTCCATCAAAGGTGTACGATTTGGGGAACTGAATACAAAAGTCTGCGGGGTTATTGTTCTTACGTATATCCTGAGAATCTTTACTACTAAGATAAAGGTAAAACTCTGACATGTTTTTTTTGTTTTTTTTTTTTTTACTTTCACAAATACATATTAGCACTGTCTTCTTACGCTTTTTCAGTTGTTCGTATTTCGTCCATAATAGTGTCAACAAGATAGGACGGTCTTAACAATACGAATACGAACGAGTAACAACGTAATAACAACGATTTCTTTCTAGTCAGTGACACATTTTCAGAAGCTAGGGATCGTAGCAAATTTCGTCTTCTTTCAAGTAAATGAACATCTCTTCTCGGGGGATTAATTGTTCCATTCACCAATCTTTTGGCCACTTGCGCTATAGCCTTTACTTGACCCCCTGTCATATTAGTGATCATATTTTTTCTGGCAGATACAGTGGCATCTTTTAATTGGAGAAGAAAGTTGAGTTTACGGTACACTTGAGACTGGTTCATGGTTGATTTCTCTTAGCGCTCACTCTTTCTTACGTGTGTAAAGTTCCAGTTCAATGAGTACAGGGTAAACTACGCCATCTATTTGTGACAGGTTTTTAACACCAGTTATTACCACTTTGCCGCTGTAAAAACAACAAAAATGGACTCCTTCTCTTTTAAAATTTAGGGAGGGAAACAATTCGGGTTCGTACACGACCTGTCTTTCTTTGGCCAACAACTGTAGATCTAACGCGTCACTTAAGGTGTGACTAGCGGATATTGTTATCAATTTGACCTCCTTCAGCCGTACTGTGAAACCGAGACGCTGTATACGTCTTGCATATTGACGTAGTCTCTGACGTCCCTCTGTAATACTGGGTGCCTTTCCGTTGCAATTAATTACACCATTGGAGAAAACTAAGCAATTTCCGCCAATGGTTTCGTGTTGCCAAATCAATCCGGGAAATGTTTTTGGATCATAGCGAGCGTTTGCTATACGATAGCATAAATACCTCAAGTCAATGAAACAGCTCAAGTTAGCGCTGCACACGACGTTGGTTATTATCATGATGTGAAGTTTCGAATCTCAATATCATTAATGACAATTTCTCTGGGGGGTATATCTGTTTTATATACAATAATAATCACGTGACTTAAGAGTATTGTAACAGGTCCTTTTCTTGGATCCAGCTGTCAAATTTCTTAGGCCAATGCAACCAACGTACTAGTACTTCCTTTCGTTTGTTTCGCGTCCTTTTCTTTAATATTTTTTCAACGTGGTATTCTGTATTTTCGTCCACACTAACTGCCTGCAATTCTTGTTCGTAAAACGTGCCATCAATTTTTTCTTCATTGGCCCAGTCATTTAAGGTATATACGCATACATTGTCTCGTTTGAAACGGCTTTGAATTTTGAATATTTCGCCAGTCCACTTCTGAGAGTACTCTCTGTCAAACACGCTTTTCACGTGCGATACTCGTACTGTCTGACCTACTTTAAACCTGTAGTGTTTGATCTTGTGTTTGGTTTGCCTGCCTTTGGTCCTAAGTAAATACTGTTGAAGTCTGCTTTCTCCTTCTGACTCTTTAGTAATGTTTATCGGTTTATCACCGAGACTTCTATGTATAGTTGAGTTATATGAAAGTACAATATTCCTGAGCACGTCAACGTAACGTTGGGTTCTGTTTTTTATCATATACCTAAACAGTTTATGCTTTAGCGTCTTAATACATATCTCCGCAAAATTAGCTTTTGTCTCCGTATTTAATGCGTAAAAATGATGAATGTCCATGTGTTGAAGATATTTATTGACCTGTTTACTTCTAAACTCCATACCTTTGTCTGTTCTCACCGTATTTGGTTTTCTAGGACCGGTTAAAATTCGCTCTAATGCATTAACAACATCGCCCCCTTTCTTGGTTTTGATAGGCTCACAATAGCCAAAGCGAGAGAAAATATCTATTGCCACTAAAACGTATTTATAACCGTCATTATGTTTGGCTAAGTCAACCATATCCATCAAGTCCATATCCCACTGGCTGTC